GTGAAATTGCATTCCTTAAAATGGTGTAAAAAACTGTATACCCTTCAATTCAAAATTGCTTCGACTAGTATTAAATAAAATAATAAAAAATACGAAATATTTATCGAAAATAATTCTTCGCATAAAATTACCTTAGGATAAGTGAATTTCATAATTGCGTGCAAAAAAAAGTTTAAATTCGCTTAAAAATGCTTTCTTCCCGAATAAAACAGAATTTGATTTTTTTAGTCCGGCCATAGTCACTAGTGATTCGTTGGATTTAAATAACGTTTTTGTTTTTTTCTTGGCTTAAATTATAATTTCCATCCTTAATAAGCATGCTTTATTGCTTCTGACAAGAATTGTAACACTAATGTGTGTGTGTGTGTGTGTGTGTGTGTGTTTGTGTGTGTGCGTGCGTGCGTGCGTGCGTGCGTGCGTGCGTGTCACGGCGAAAGACCGANTAATCTCTTTACATTTTATTTTCAGTTTTTTGCTTGATATATTTGTTTGTTTTTCCGTACATATTTTTTACTTAATGTGTTCTAATTTCGTTTAAATTTTTTTGAGTGCTCCTCACCCTATTGTATTGATATATTTTGCTTTGGCTATATTAATGCAATATTGGAAAGCACTCCTTTCGGAGGATATAATCGTGTGGGCAGATGAAGAGATTATATCTTTCCTTGCTTTGTTTTCCGGATTTTTTTTTTTTAAGTTATCAGAAATTATATATATATATTTAAAAAAAAAATACTTTTGAAAAATATTTTTAATTACTTTCTTCTCTTGTCATTATCATGATACAGTTGCGTGATTTCTCAGTGTCATTTTCTTGGTGAGAAAATGCCACTTGTGATGGCGTCATGAAAACCGGATCGGTGAATAAAATTAAGCATCAATAAAAATGATCCCAACTGACATAATTATTTGCAGAAACAAACTTAACAATTGTTAATGATAGAACCATTTTAAAAAAATAAATTTCGTTTTTATTTAAGTTTGTATTTAATTTTATATCATAAAAATGAGTTTACTTTAAAAGATGAGAGTTTAGTTTGTGGGAGATGCTTAGTTTTTTCTAAAATAATTTTTTCTTCAAATTTAACCTCTAAAGGTGTCTACACACCGAATGCAACAGAGATGCGAAACACGATTTTTCCCCTCTGTTGCAGTGTGTCTGTTGCAAGTGATTGCATGTACCTTCACACCGCATGCGACAACAAACCTGTTTCCTCGCTAGCGTATGCGCACTTTTCTTCTGTATCTAGTTTTTGTTCCACAGCTCATTTTAACGTCATTTTTTGTATTTAAAAAATTATTTTATACATATGAATTACTTTTTATATTTATATTATTTTTTATATTTATATTACTTTATGATTTCAGTATAAGATGCTTCATAAATTGTCGAAATAAACTTTGCGTCACATTTTTACAAATATTGTATCAATAATTTATACGAAATTATTTTTTTTAAATAATTTTTGTCTTATAATTTTGTCTACTAATTTTTAATACTTAACTAATCTTTTTATGGGAAAAAAATNTTTTTTTTTTTTTTTTTTTTTTTTTTTTTTTTTTTTTTTTTTTTTTTTTTTTTTTTTTTTGCTAAATAAACTAAATTGCTGGAATATTAAATAATTCAAATTAAAAAAGCTAGGGAAAATGAAAAACAGAAATTATTTTATTATCAAAAGGTCATGTTAGGAAAAAAAAATTTTTTTTTCAGAACATTGTTGTGAACAATATTTTGAATATTACAAATATATCAAGTTTGCAACTTAACATTTTATATAGACGTGATAAAAATGAATTTATTTCCATATGCAAATGCTTCAATATAGTTTTTTCTTACATTCGCAAGTTGATAGGAATTTATGACATTAAAATTTCACTTTACGGAATTTCCGAGTGGAGCCATTTACGCAACATTTTAAAATGGACACCTTTTATTATTTAGTGACCCTTTATAATATGATCATGAGATACTACTTTATGAGAAGTACAAGAATGTGCGGGTGTTTTTCTTTTTTCATTTATGTTTTACTTTTGCATAAAATTACATTTTCCAAAAATTGTATTAAAAAAAAAAGGAATACATCGCGTTTTGAATATGCTACATTTCTTTTCCCTGCTGAATGGTACTGTCGCATTAAGCCAGGCATAGTCAGTCTGACAGAACCACTGGTAGCTATATTTTATAACACTCCAAATAAAAACTCCTGGAAGATTGGTTACGGTATCTCAGCTATCAACAATAGACCCATGAAGCCTATGGCATCACAAAAATTTTATTAGTAATTTCTGTTCTTGAATCTGGTCCATTCACTTAATTGGCGATAAATACCAAATATGTTCCTTAGCTTCCTTGATTTTATAAACTCCCGAAAATTTCTCAGAGCAGTAAAATCAAATTATTATTTTTGTTTCTATGAAAGTATTAAAGTAGGAAAAAAGGCGTTTTTTCCCATCATTTCTAATATACCCAATTTTATCCGATAGTGATGAACAATACCTTCCATAGAATAACCAATTTACACTAAAAAAATACAGCTTTTTTTGTTCTATAAAAATGGTTTATTTTTTAAGCTAAAAATCGATCTGATTTCATGCAAATAAAAATTTAAGCGATTCTGCTTATGAAGTTGATTATAAAAAGAAAATTTAAGGACCCGGCTTTGAGCACCATTGCCGTATTTACAAAATTTATTAATAATAACTACTTTTAATAGCAAATAAAAAAATTTGTTCCTCTAGAAAAAATATATAATTAAAAATTATTGAATAAAAAATTATTAATTAAAAAATATTGCTTTCTATTCTTTTAGCAGCGCTAAAATGCCGCCACCTTTTCCTTATTTCGCTGAACATTTTATTTTCATTTTTTAATGATTCAAGAGTAAAGCTTTAATTTTTTATTCATGGTTTAATAAAATCACTTTAAAGTTATCTTAACTAGTATAAAAAGAATTAATTTAAAAGGCTTGATATTTATTTGAATGTCAAGTTATGTTCTGGCAAAATTCATAAATGATTCTCTGTCTAATTGACTATTAATTGACTATTAATAGTTATTTTACTACCACTCGAGAATATCTGCAATAAAGAGCAAAGAAAAAAAATATTCTGTTCACTTGTGCATAAACAATTAAAAAAGCGAGAAATAAACTAATAGTAGAAAAGATTTATACTATTAACTTTTCGCAATTAATTCAAAATACTTTTAGAAAATTAATTAAAGAAAAGTATCTATTCAATGCATTTTTCACAATTAACAAAACGCACTAAAATAGCTTAAACCTAAGTGAGATTATCAGATTAATCCCACTTTAGAATTTTAAAAATTTATCTCAGGAATTTATGAAATTAGATACACTGTTTCTAAATCAAGACCTATCAATATATATTTTTAATCAATATTCTTAAAAATTTATATTATTTTATATATATTTAATAAAAATTTCAACGAAGATTTATATAAATAAGAACATTTAAAATACATTTTTGTAATAAAAGTGTCTTTTAATGTAAAAATCTTTCAAATATATTCAAATATTTTATATAAACATAGATCACTATGTTCTGAATGACGTTAACATTAAAATCATACGTGATTTCAACGTATTTTCCCTTTGAGATTAGAAATATATAGGAATCGGATTGACTCTCTGAGTCTGCAACAGCGACGAAAATTGAACTCCATCCAATTCTTGAAACCAGTGCGACGGCGATCGCTGGTTGTTGCAACAGAGGGAGGATGAAAGAAGTGCGCATGCGCGAAGTCATCGCAACATGCGATTTGTTGCTGTTGCAGCCGGTATGGAGACTCCTTAACGCTAAAACTAAATCATCGCCTTTAGTGCACTGTGACTGTAACATGAGTTTGTCAGTCTCTTTCAGCAATCGTCAAAGAGAGCTCTCTAATTAAGAGCCACTCACAAATATTTCACATACGGCATACAACTTAAAGTCTATTCGCGATCGCAACGCTCGAGTACGCCGTCTAGCGGGAGCCTGTAAATATCGGACATTAATTTATCACGTTTTCATTTAGTTCCATCAAAGTCATTGACTGAATCAGACGCCATTTTTTAGCAGCAAATAAGAAACAAAATTTCCCTAAGGAAAAGGCCGAAGAACTTGAAAAAAAT